GTAGACTGAGTTGCAAAATTTGCAGAGGCAGGAGTGGGATCGGGCCAGCCCGCAGGCAGAAGAGGTAAGCGCTCTTGGCGTGCGACCCACCCCACTCGGAGCTGATTTGGTCGGGTGAGGGCTGTAGCTGATGCAAAACCTCCACCTGGCTGTCGACGTCGTCACCGTAGGTGACTTTGACGGAGATCAGGCGTCTTTTGTGCGCGTCGGTGCGCAGAACTTTTCTGAGATCGAGGTCCACCCGGACGATATGATCGCGTTTGTGGGCATGATTATTGAAAAGGACTAGGTACCTAAATGTGAGAGCAATTTAGGTGAGCGCAGAGTAGGTCAAAAAACCATGCAGCAGCAAAGATACACACTCGCTAAAACGAATACCCAAGCAGTGTAATATCTTCCATTCATTTTCGGTGTTTCATTTTAAATAACATAATAAATGTGTATCCTTCTTTTAAATACGCAGAAAATCAAATTTTCCTGAACTTTTATACTTTAGAAAGTGCATTAGAAGATAACTTCGAAGTAGACAATGGGTACACCGATTTCCATAAGGCATTTGACAGTGTCAGTACCTTCTACATAAACCGATCGTGCTTGGCATCAGAGGGGAATATCTGAATTGGATCAGAACATTTTTGGTCTGTCAAAAACGACACGTTTGCATCGGAGAGGATAAATCGGACTGGTTGGACGTGGTTAGTGGTGCTCCTTAGGGTTCCGTTCTCGGCATATTACCCTTCATCCTTATCTGTTATGACAGCCCTCAAAAAATGGACTGCGGTAAGATCACGTTTGCTGACTACGTTAAGCTCTGGCGGGTCATTAAGCACCCGAGCAACCGAGAAGATCTGCAAATTTATCTTTACAGACTGCAGATGCGGTCCGAAGGATGGTTCCTAGACTTCAGTGTACAAAAGTGTGCCCTTCCCCACTGCGTCCAACGAACTAGACTGTACCTCACAGCATAGGGACATACTACCTGAACAACATTAAAATTCCCGTAGAATCTTCACAGAAAGACCTCGGCATACAAAGCAATTTGAAACCATCGTTGCAATGTGTCAAGGCTGCAAAGAAAGCCACGGGAGTGCTGTACTCTATCAAAGGGGTGCTCGTATCTTTTGACAAAGATCTCTTAAGCAAAGTGTACGGTATCTGCCTTCAACCA